CATTTTCTCCAGGAAACTACCATATCCTCAGAACTTTGATAAGTTTTGGTGATGATGTTGGCCTGAATTAAGGGTCAAAATGTCTTGGGGGGGGGGGGAATATCCATGAAAATTTCAAGAAAAGGTCTGGAAAAGTCTTGGAAATCATTTGGCTCTTGTTGCTATGGACCCTGAAGGGGGAAATGTATGTCCATTATCCTTGTTTTAGTCACCATTGACTTTGTCATAAAGATTTTTCTTGTGGTTACAATTTTTATCTGATCTTCAAATTTGGAATTCTAATCATTTGCCATGAAATGTCAATCATATTCAATTTTGGCGTAACTAGAAAGCGCATTTTTCAAGATGTGAGATGAAATTAAACATTTTTTGACATGAAAGTGGACAGAAAGTAAACATCCAGACTGCTAATATTGTGAACCAGATGTTAGTATATGTCAATTAGATAAATGTAGTGACTAAATAAATACATTTTAAATATATTTTATTTTGCTTATTAAATTAAAAATGTATCTGCACTAGTGGGAGCTTCACTAATATTTTATAAGGTACATGAGATTAATACAGTATATTAGTATTAAAAATCACATTGGCAAGCATTTTTCTTTCTTGCTGTACATTTATTTAATTGAAGCTATATTATTCTATAAGGGACATTGAAGATAACCCAGTTTGTATAATATTTTAGAAACATGAATGTTAATTATTTTTCATTATGATGCATGAAACGATATTACATCGTTAGTTTATTACTCAACTCTAATTCTACTAGTCCTATGTACTTTGACTTTACCAGATAAGGGTTAATCTAGGTTCTTAATGGTTAAGGTTATCTGTAAAATCTGTATTTGAAGCCGCTGCTACCGGTACTATTAAAATGGTACAAAGCAACGATGCATCTACACATATGAGAAATGGTGAATTTTTGGTTTTCAATGGTTCAACAAAAATGGGTGCGACTTCTATTAGGGATGCGGCTTCTAATATAGATTTTACGGTACTCCCCACTTTTGGAAAACAACACATTTACACTAGATAAATGTGGACAGTCCTTTCTTAGTAAATGCTGACAGAGGATGCTGGACAAAAACTGTACTCTACCAGAAATGAACACCATGCTTAGAACAATTATTACCAGTAGGCAAAAAATGATATAACTACCTTTAGAGTCCAATAGTAGCCATCCTTTATCAGTAAACATGCAGAATATCACACCTAGATTTTTATGAACTGTGATCATATACCACACACGTATCCCATTTTATCTTTTTTTTTTAATCACCAAGATGTAGTCCTAAAATTGGCTGGGCGAGACTCGCAAAACATTGTAAAAATAACACTGTTCCTTTAAAAGTCACTTTGCTATTTGCTTCAGATAGTTTTCATGAAATCAAATTTAAGAAATAAATTATAGAAATTATATGTACTGTATTTGTTTTATTCGAAGTGAATATCAAATAGAAGCACACATAAATTTTCTGAATCCTGAATCATTAATGTTAATTACTAACAGCAGAAACTATAATTTGCATATGCACAACTAATAGAGCAAATACAGGTATATTTAAGATGGATGGTTATATAATAAATTATACATCTGTTTCAGATACATCATAGCGGGGGGGGGCGTCACCTGAGCACACACATGTAAGCAATGACACGCTATGGCCACCTGACGCATGTGTAGGTGACGACCCCCACTTTAACGTAACTTATCTTAAATTTATCTTGATATGTTAAGCCCATGTAGCAAATATTACGAGGTGGTTTTGAATGAGATTAGGCAAAAAAAATGGTGTAGTTTTGTGTGGTGAGCTACTACTATTAGTCTGCCGACGATGCTTGTTTTTGTTTTATGACCATTTACTCTTTATTAACCCTTTTAACATCAGACTTTCTCTCCCAAATTTTTCTCACTTTTTTCTTATATTTTCAATATTTCAGGAAATGAACCCTAATTTTAGAATCAATACACAAATGTTGAGTAAATTCTCAGTTTTTACTCAAAAAATTTGGCTATTTTTGTCCCAATCTTCTGAAGGAAAGTACAGACTATAAACAGGATTATTTTGTGAAATTCTGATGAAAAGAGGGAACTTGTGGTGAAAAGGTTAAGTCTCAAACCTCAGAGGATGGAGCACCCTCGATGGTGAGTGAGTACCAACTGCACCCGAGATAGTGAAATACAACACAGTCCTTTTTCGCCCCGATATAGTTAGTCGCAGACAAAAAGCTCGTCCTGGGAAGCAGCTAAATACCATGTCCCCAATGGTATGGGTGAGAGTATCAAACACTGACTAATAGACAAGTTTAGCTGCTGCCATCAACTTTATTATTAGCATCGAATCTCTAATGCAGACTTATTCTATGGATTCTAAGATCTTCAACTAGAAACATGCTTCCAGAGAAATTCAATAGCAATTGTTACTACAATTTTTTTTTTTGTTTCACTACAATATACCCCCTGCTTTTATTGTCAACTGTGTTTATGGTGTTCATAGCATTGAAAAGATCTTTAGTTGGTGCCCATAACTCATACGTGTCCGGCCAGACATCCATCAATAATATCCGATCACTTCCTTGGTGATAAGCAGCTAGTGGACTAATGTGTCCAACGGGTACACCTTGACCTAGGACATCCATATGGTAGTTGATGACCATTGTACTTTCACAATTGCTCTGAACCAGTGTCTTTTTAACAATCTGTCGGAATTCTTCTTCGCTGCTATCAGATGCATGGTATGTTTCGACATCAAGGTTGAATGCTCGGTATAAATCAGATTTCTCTTGCAATGTACATCCACGTGTTTCAACTTTAGATTTATCCAGTACCGACAAAGTTGGTTGCAAATCAAACATGGTTTCCTCACGATAGAGGGAGTCACTGTTCAGCTTCATTGCGTTCATGACAATGGCGGCTGTCTGCAAACCACACATGGTTCGATGTTTCTGTTTACCGAAGTATTTAATTATGTCATCTTGTCGATATGTTGATGTTTTGAGTAATTCTTTGCCGTCATCACAATTCAAAGCTATCAAGGCAGGAGTAGATGCAGACATTTTAAAATGCCTGAAATAACAAAAAAAGCAATATTCTTAGACACATGCAAACATTCCATCCCACAGAAATGCATTTCCATACAATAATAATAATAAAAGTAAGATAGATTTTTATACACTTGCAATCAATGCCATCTCAACCCTGAATCTATTCCTTGTACCTCATCCCATCCCTGGATCTATTCCTTGTACCTCATCCCATCCCTGAATCTATTCCTTTTACTACATCCATCCCATCCCTGGATCTATTCCTTGTACCTCATCCCTGGATCTATTCCTTGTACCTCATCCCTGGATTCTATTCCTTGTA